TTGTAATTAAAATTACTGGTCAGCACACTGAATATGATAGAAGAGAAAGTGGGAAGTAGACTGCAACACATGGGCACAGGAGACCACTTCCTACTTATAACCCCAGTAGCACAGACAACAAGAGCAACATTGGATAAATGGGACCTCCTGAAACTGAGAAGCTTCTGTAAAGCAAAGGACACTGTCATTAAGACAAAAAAGCCATTCTACTGAATGGGAGAAGATCTTCACTAATCCCTCCTCAGACAAAGATCTGATCTCCAAAATATATAAAGAACTCAAGAAACTAGACTGAATTGAACAGAGAATTCTCAACAGAAGTTCAAATGGCCAAAAGACACTTAAGATCATGTTCAACCTCCTTAGCAGTCAGGGAAATGCAAATCAAAACAACTTTGAGATACCATCTTACACCTGTCAGAATGACTAAAAGAAAAGACACCAATGATAGCTTATGCTGGAGAGGATGTAGAGTAAGGAGAACACTCATCCATTGCTGGTGAGAATGCAAACTTGTGCAACCATTTTGGAAATCAGTGTGGTGGTTTCTCAGGAAATTGGGAATCAACCAACCTCAGGATCCAGCAATACCACTCTTGGGAATATACCCAAGAGATGCCCAATAATACTACAAAAGCATTTGTTCAACTATGTTCATAGCAGCATTATTTTCAGTGTGCCTGATCTAATGGAAGCTCACCAAGGCCAGCTGGACCGGGACTGAAAGAGCATGTGATCAAACCGGACTCTATGAATGTCTCTGGCAATGGGGGCTGACTGAGAAGCCATTGATAAAGGCACTGGGACTTGTTTCTACTGCATGTACTGGCTTTTTGGGATCCTAGTCTATTTGGATGCACAGCTTCCTAGGCCTAGATGGGGGGGGGGGGGGCTTGGACTTCCCAAAGGGCAGGGTTCCCTGCCCTCTCTTAAGGAGGGAAGAGGAAAGAAGAGAGTGAGTGGGGGAGCAGGAGGGGATTGAGACGAGGGGAGAAAGTGTAAATTTTTGAGTGGAAAAATTAAAAGACATACTAAAAAAATAAAAAAAATAAAATTACTGGTCAGTCAAAGGACTCAGACAAGTGTTGTTTGGAAACACGAGGAACCAGATCATGGCAAGCTCTTTACTGGTTTTTCTTTCTATTTTTACTCTGTAATTTTGAGTGAATGAGTAAAAGTAATAACCAATTGATAAAAAATAAATCTGGTCTTCTGTTTAGCCTATACCCAGAAGCTTTAGGTCTAAGACACAATCTTCTTCCTTATAAACTACTTTTCCAATCAAAGCATTGAAAAACATGGGCCCAAGTTCTCACTCAACCTGATGGCATGAAGATACCAACCCAATGGGATGAGTCATAGTGAACCCTGGAAGGGAAAGGGTCACCATAACCTGACAAGCAGATGTAGCCATGTGATACAGCTGGGACTCTGGGACATTAGGACATGGCACACACCTAGTTCATTGCTTCATTTCTCAAAAGACCTTTCCCCGCTACTGGGAATCAATGCCATTCTTCTATCTGAATCCTCTAAGGGCATAATGTTAATTAAGGAAATGGGTAGGATTAGCCTCCTTTGCTCTTTGACTTATTGGAGGCACTATCGTGTTTAGAACCGCCCGAGCTGTTGATAAATGATTAACAATCCACAGGGAATAAACTTTCAAAAACACAAAATGGGGACGAGTCCAAAACACCTGCTAACACCTTGAATTCTGAGTTTTGACAAAAACCCACGTTCAAAACAAGCTTCCTCGGCTTTTGTTGCATTCAGCGTCGGAGCACGGATTCCTTCAGATGTAAAACGAGAGCTCTGGCATGTCAGCCTTCGTCTGTTGGTTTGTTAGAAGGTTAACTATAATGATTTGAGCAAAGCATTTGGCAGAATGCCTGGACCGGAGGAATGCTCTGCAGAGATGTCCATTCTCCTTCCCTCTTAAGGTTGCTTAAAAATTCTCTGAGGGTCCCTTTGTTGTTGACACTTGCTCTACCGTAGATGGAGTCAAGATAGGAAGCAAGGCCAGTGCCTAAAAGCACTAGTAACAAGTAGAAGAATTAAAATATCAGTCAACTAGTCCGGTTTTATCCCAGGCTTTTTCAGACCCAGGCCAGCTGGCCTTGGTGAGTTCCCGATAAAACATCCCCATTGTCTGAGTGTGTAGGTGCACCCCTCACGGTCCTGAGTTCCTTGCTCGTGCTCTCTCTCCTTCTGCTCCTGATTTGGACCTTGAGATTTCTGTCCGCTGTTCCAATGTGGGTCTCTGTCTCTGTCTCTTTTCATCGCCTGATGAAGGTTAATATTCAGGAGGATGCCTATATGTTTGTCTTTGGATTCACCTTCTTATTTAACTTCTCTAGGAACGTGAATTATAAGCTCAAGCTAGCTGAACATAGCGGAAAATGAGGACTACTGAGAAGGCAAGAACAATGGCAGTGGGTTTTTGATCCTACTGCACGTACTGGCTTTGGGGAGCCTGGGCAGTTTGGATGCTCACCTAACTAGCCCTGGATGGAGGTCGGCGGTCCTTGGGCTTTCCACAGGTCAGGGAACCCTGATTGCTCTTCGAGCTGATGAGGGAGGGGGACTTGATCGGGAGAGGGGGAGGGAAATGGGAGGTGGTGGCGGGGAGGAGGCAGAAATCCTTAATAAATAAATAAATTTAAAAAAATAAAATATCAGCCAACATTCATTGCTTCTTGGTTCTATGTCACAGCGATCCACTGTGTTTTTAAAGGTAAATGTGGGCTTTGTTTTGCTTGAATTTTTCTGTTACCTTACTGCCGTGTCTCTCCAAATGCAGGCTCCCTTACTTCAGTAACAAAAATGTTACCAGTAAATCAATTCACATCCTTGTCAGTGGAAGCCTCTGTCAAGTCTCATACCTCTTGCCTGCTTTCATTTCAAGAGTTAAAATAATGCTCTTTTACGTTTAGGTAGAAGTCGGTTAATAATAAAATATCTATCCAAAATAGTCAAAAAATGAAATTCTGTTTTTGTGTGAGGAAAAAATTTCCCATTAACCTTAAATGAATTTTAACAAATGAGCTGATGAGAAGGAAACACAGGAACACACCCACAAGGACAGCGTGTTTGGGGCTCCTCGCTTGGCACACAGGGTACTTGGACTAATGCATAGATGTAATATACTCTTATCATTCCATGTTTGGAAAAGAAAAATCAATGAGTACATTTCTCAGCAATAATGTACTTTCCAGTTAGTGAACCATGAATTCACACTATTGCTTTTAATTTATGGATTTGTTTTCTTTTCTCTGTGGGCTCATATTTATTTTCCCTAAAATTACGGTTGGTAATTAGAGTGAGATTCATCTGTACGTCAGAGGAGCGGCACAGAAGATGTGCGGCCATGGCACGAAATTGACTTTAGTTTAATTTCCTGTGTTCTCTGCAATAAGTAAGACCCGATGTTGAGACTAAGGCAGAAATGTTCAAGTATGGCAAGCACCCTGTGTGAATCAAAATGTGCCCATGAGAAGACTCTGACACATCGGGAAATTCCTAAGACCAGGGGGCTTAGTAGAGGTTATTATTCACACTAGATAGAATGACAGACTTGCAGACGTGATGGGGAGGAGCTAAATTAGAGCCCTGTATGTATGAGTCAATTCTGTTGTCTGGTTTGTCCACTGGGGTCACACAGCTGCCTATTCTCAGGGGTGGAAATCAAGTGTTGGGAGCCGCAATGAAAAGATCTTGCCTCGCAGAGGCCCACCCACACCTATAGAGCAAAAAAACCCTTCCTCTGCTGACTTTGCAGATCGAGAGGGCCTCCGCTAAATATAAAACACTCTATTACTGCGTATAAACTTCTTTAGAGATTTCTTGGTCGGGGGCTAAGACTTGTGAGAGGAGCTGGAGTGTTTATTGTGTAACAGTTACTTATTCCGTTTTATTAATTCAACAGCACTCATGAGAAAAGAGCATCGGGAAGGCAGGCTCTCTTCCACTCCGAGGAGGTAAGAATCGCGCTAGCTGTCCAGGCCACACAGGAAGGGAGACTGGGAGGCCCTTGCTTCCTGTTCATTTCATCCTCACAACAAGCCTGCTTTGATCCCACTCTTAGGAGCAAACAGAAGCACAGGGAGGTTATGTAAGTGGTTCAGGTCACACAGCTTGCAAGCGCTAAATACGGCATCTCAAGCAGAGAGCCTCTCTTGAGCACCTGTTCTCCTACCACCAAACCGCACTTGTGCCTGGCACAGAGAAGGCGCTCCGCTCACTGTTTGCTAGTTCAGATCACGTCACCAAAACATGGGAAATTCACTGAGTTTAATATTCTGGATTTAATAGACTGGTTCTTTTCAAAAGCAAGCCAAAAGATATTCATAAACACACCGACGTAAGTACACTAAAATCTGAAATATCAAAGCACGGTAAGATGATTTATTACATTTTCTGATTAACCTGGAAAACAACTTCACATTTTTGATGTCTCTATTCTAGGAGGAAATTAAATTTCTGGGAAGTTTTGCGGCTGACTCTAGACCCTGTGCTGCCAATTGTTCTGCCCAGGGCTGTCTAACCGACAGCCCACAGGCCTCCTGTATCCTAGAATAACTATGAATACAACACAGCCCATTTGCAGATGACAAGAGCGTCATGTCACAGTGTCACAAGAATAGACATCCCTGATAGTCTTTTATACAGAGATTTATGATTGCCTATTCTCAGGGGAAGGGACTGTTATCCACGATGCTCCTCATTGGTTGATAACTTGAAAGATCAGCTGTTCTTCCTTTCATCTAGTTGACAAGTGGAAAACAATTCTTGTTGATTGCTATACTTAATTATTCCAGTTAACAATGCCAAGAAGCAAATAAGATTAACTATTAAACAAAGAAAATAGACAAAATGTAATACATAGCGAAACATAAACTATTACTGTCCGTTCAGCTTTTAACCAGATTGTCATCAATATTGAAGGACAACCTAAGTAGCTCAATAAATGTGCCAGTCTGAGCTCTAGGCTTACTTACCTTGGTGCGGACAACGAGAGGGAGTGGCAATAGAAGGAGAACACAGAGAATCACAAGGAGAAAGCGGCGATAGACCAACACATAACTGAGGGGTTTCATTGTCCTGAGCAGGTACCTTCAGCAGTGTCCGCTTCACCCTCAGGCAGATGTTAAATAACCAGCTTGGATTAATAATTTTCTACCTGATCATCTTTACTTACTGCCTCAGACCGAGTAGCGTTAGTTAAAATTAAAACTCATTTTTATTGCTTTACTATCACAATTAAAACAGAGAGATAAGCCCAAGAATGCTTGAGGACTCAAAGACCATTTGCTTATGTGATTTGTAAAAGGTAAGACTAGTTCCTTTTCTCTTTCTTAGCGCAAAGTAACTGGACTGTAGCCTGGAGCGACCAGGGGAAGGTAAAATCATAACGTTAACCAAGAGTGTCCACTCTCAACCCCCGCTGCCTCTTTGGATGACTCCTGGCTTCTCCTAGCTGGAGCTGTCCCGCTTGTGATCCCTTCAGTATCCCTCCAGAGCCCTGCCTAAGAAAGTGTACTCGTGTCTAAGGTGAAACAGCAACTCCAACAGCAGGGATTTCAGCATTGGGGAGTGAGTAAAAGAAAGGGTGTTAGGTGTTGACAAGGTTTTCTGGGGCTTACCAGGTCATGTACCCAGTCAGCCTTCTAAAACAGTGATAACAATTTTTCCTTTCACTTTGAACACAAGATAATCCATGTCTCTTAGAGATCCTAATACCACTTTTTGGTAAGAAACAAAAATAAACCTTGTAGAGACCCTCGCATTTAAGACAGTTACGGGTTTGAATTGATATTATTGCCCTAATACTAGCTACATACTTGCCAAGGGAGCTGTAAAGAGATAATTCACTGGGGTCCTTCAAGATATGTGTGTGCCTGTGTGTATGTGTGCGAGGGCCTCCATGTGTGCATGACGAAAACTGTTACAACATAGACTAGAGGAGATGGCTAGGGATTGTCTGGTGTGCTTTAAATTGTAAATTGATTAGCCACTAAGATTCAACTAAGCAACTCTGCACTGTGCCCCAGATATCAGCAAAATGCTTACCCAGAACTCCTGTACTTTATAGTGGCTTTCTCTTGACACAGACTTCACTCTTATATAACGTATGGTTATTATTTAGATCAGACTTCTAATTCCATAGTGGTGTTGACTCTGTTTTATTTTTCTGTCAAGGAAAAAAATTATTTTCAATAACAATCCCTGTATTAATAATGTAAGTAAGAAAATTTCCCCTCTAAAATGATATATTTCCAGCCAAATCACACAGAGGGTGATTCAGGAAAACTAGACAAGTAAACAAAAAAAAATATTCTGAATAAGTATAGTGTACTATATAAAAAAATTTCACAGATGAAAGAAAGGGTGATTGCCATCTGAATAATGATAGTCATACAATTGTGACGATCCACAAAGTAGCAATAATAAAGAACATTAAGAACAGATTAAAGGAGCTGTTTATTTTTCCCACGAAGGCCCTGACTAGTTTATCACATGCTTTTCCTTTTTTTTTTTTGATTTTTTTGAAGGAAAACTTTTGCTCTGATTATCTTAGGCCGCCTGGTGTGAGCATTTGAACTTCACTGTCTCATCTCAGAGGATATGACATTGTGAAATGATATCAAAAAATGAAATGGCATTTGTATGTCATCTGACAGAAATGAGGGCCTAGGCAGTGTTGGGAGAGGTGACGCTTCAGTGGCACAGAGGCTAAGAAGAGCATTTGGTGCTTGTCTGTGCCTCTGCTCTCTTCCAGGGACAGTCTCTCCCCATAGGAAGGTTCTCAGGACCCTCATTTCTGAGGCCTGAAGCTGCAGCTAGACAGGCCTTTGGTGGGTGTCCACACAAGAAGTTTTAGCCCATAGTTACAGAACATCCACCCTCTGCTTCATGCCTACCACACAGCCATTCCCCTAATACTCAGCTATGTTCTCTAGCTGTCACAGACAGAAAAGATCTGACAAAGTAATTTCCAGTCAACTCAAAGGATTAGTAGGTGGCAAATGTCACTCAGGAGTTTCCAAGGAATGAATAGTCAAGAATTTAGAAGCTTCTAAAGAATGTATCTTAAGAGAATGCAAATTGTGCCCTGGTGTTAATCAATTTCAAGTAAAAGACAAGTTAGTTTCCCATGTTAGTTTGCCTCATTTTTAAGCAGAGAAACCTAAACTTCTGTAACATACTACAGTTGTGTTATTTTAACACACAGTAATTGTGTTGTATAGAAATTAAGTTGTATCATCAGGTGAACATCAGTTAATTTAAAACACATTCTGTTCAAATGTTTAAAAAATGACCAATACTACTGTCTTGTACACCATATTGTACTATGCTCCAGGGATTTTGTCGTTGCGACCCTGATTAATTTTCAAAACCTAATACAATCCAGGCAGGTGATGCTGGCCTATAAATATAGTTACTCAAGAGACTCAGGGAGGAAGATTGTAAGTTCAAGTACATTCCAAGGTACAAAGTGAGCATAAGAAAATATAGTAAGCTTAAGAAAATATTTAAAAGCAAAAAGGGGGATTGGTGTGGGACAGTAACTCAGTGGTAGAGTCCTTGCCTAGTAAGCATGAGACTCCAGGTTCACTTTCTAGTAGCAGGAACATACACCAATACAGTCATGAACATCTGTATTGTTATTTGCTGTTATTATCGTCTGTGTTTTGTGGAAACATGTCAGATAAAAATGTGCCAGGAATTAAGTGGCATAGTAATAGCTTGAATTGAACCTTTTCTGACACCTAAGGAAATGCTTTCTTTTTAAAAAAAAAAAAAGCTATTCCATATATCTACAATATTTTCTCTGTATTCAGCTCACAAACAAATAGAGACTTTGCATATGGGTTGGTAAGCCTAAGGGTTGTACCTTTGTCATTTACTCTTAGGCATTATGGATAACACAAGTGAGATGAAAGGTTTGAACACAGATGGAAGAAGCCCCTTCCCCATCTGGCTTAAGACAGTTTGATCGCCCATCACACTTGGGTGGTGCAGACAATCAGGGGGAACAGAGAGGAAGTGAGTTTCCCTCAAACCTGTTTTCTGGTTGCCTTTTCCTTATGACATATTCATTGTCAAATGTGTGCTTTTCTTTGAGCCTTTCCTGCTAAGAAAATGCTTTCCTTCTCTCCTTCAAATTTGATCTTACTAATTCATGTTCATTTTGCTTCTCTATAATGGTAACTCCAATCTGTGCCCAACTCCCTGATCCATTACTTCAAAAGTCCATCCCAGGAAGCCTCTTGTATTTGGATGCATCCTGGAGTGCTTGACATAAATGCAAATGGCTGTAGCATTGAACCAAAATGAGTCTTGACACTCCTAATGCTTATGTAGCTTTGTGTGTAATTTCATGCACCCTAAAATTTGAGAATTATTGATTTAATATTTGGCAATATTGATTTAAATCTCTTTCATGTCTCTGAAGTAGAATAACTTACTTCATTCACTATTTTACTAATGCATATGGATCTTTTTATTTATTTATTTATTAAAAATTTCTACCTCCTCCCCTCTTCCCATTTCCCTCTCACTCCCTCTCCCTCTCCAGTCCTAAAAGCAGTCAGGGTTCCCTGCCCTGTGGGAAGTCCAAGGTCCTCCCCTCTCCATCCAGGTCTAGGAAGGTGAGCATCCAAACAGACTAGGCTCCCACAAAGCCAGTCCATGCAGTAGAATCAAAACCCAGTGCCATTGTCCTTGACTTCTTAGTCAGCCCTCATTGTCAGCCACGTTCAGAGAGTCTGGTTTGATCACATGCTCGTTCAGTCCCAGTTCAGCTGGCCTTGGTGAGCTCCCATTAGATCATCCCACTGTCTCAGTGGGTGGGCACACCCCTCGCAGTCCTGACCTCCTTGCTCATGTTCTCCCTCCTTCTGCTCTTCATTTAAACGAAGAGCATATGGATCTTAAATCCTCGGTAAGACTACTAATTCTTTGAGTGGGAGGTGTTCATTTGCCTCTCTTGTCTCTAGTAAAGTTCTGGGTATAAGTACATACTGTGTGGGTAGTCATCTCTGTGCTTACCTGTGCTTGTAATCAAATAAAGCCAGATAGGCACATTGCTTATATAGTAAGATGTTGATCAGTAGAGTGTTCACATTTCAAAAGATACATGGCATTTCAAAGGCTTCTAATTTTTTTAAGTGTATGCTGATGTACACTTGCTAAGGAGGGGAAATCACACCAAAAGTCAAAAGACTTGTATTCTAAGTGAATGAGCATCTGCTTCAGTCAGTCACCCTGCTGTTTTCATTCTTTGAACTTTCAGAGTATAAAATGCCTATCAATTTTAGTCAGTTTCAATTGAGAATTTTGGTCAGGGAATTGAAAACTAGGATTTCTCCTGGAATTCATTTCTTCCTAAGCTTCCACTAGCTCCCAAACTGAATGTCATTCTTGATGAGTGTTTATTTATTTATTTTGAAAATTTGTTTATTTTGTGTGTGTATAACTGTACAAACATATCTATATCATGGAAAATGTATAACAATCAGGGGACAAATGCAGACACCAGATCTCTCCTTTGGCTATGTGGGTACCAAAGAGTGAACTTAAATCACCGTGCTCAGTACCAGGTGCCTACACCTGCTGAGCCATCTCACCAGCTGAGATGTCTATTTATATATTCCAAACATCTTTATAAATTTCAAAGCTTTTAGACATCGTGCGGGGAAAAGGAGGTCTTATATGTGAGCTGATCTCCAAGCATTTTACAAGCTATTAAGACAAGACATTTTCCCCTTACCACCATCTAGTAGTACTGGCATTTACCTTGGCATGTTTTACTCTTTTCAATTACTTTGGGTTAATGTCTCAAAGCTTTAAGTTGAACCAAATCCTCTTGACAAAACCAGAACATAGACGGTGATGTTACATGGCTGATAATTACTTGTTCCCACTCTTGGGAGGACTGAAATAGGAGAATTATGAGTTCAAGCCCAGCCTAGGCAACACAGACAATAGAGTAAAACCTTGCTTCAAAACTAACTTCCCACAGGGCAGGGAACCCTGACTGCTCTTAGGACTGGAGAGGGAGGGGAAGGGGATTGGGAGGAATGGGAGGGAAATGGGAG